ACTGAGCGATTCTGTGATTCTGTGTGTGAAACCGTGACGTTTGGAGGTTTGGGGATTGGGGTGGAGGGAACGCAGCCGCTTCTGGTTAATGCTCTTAGGATGGGCTCTTAGATATCCCATGTGTGCAAGGTGGAGGGAAAAGCAAACACACGGTACTACAGCGAGCTGAATTCAACCTGAGGGGGTCAAAGGAAAATGCAGGCTCTGTTAATTCGGAGTCAGTCCCTTCTTTGCAACGGAGCGGATGAGCAACGGAGCTGGGCGAGCCCAGGAGGGGATGCGCTGATTTGCGATCTTTTACGCAGATGTTTGACAGTGGGGAAAGAAGGAAAGGAAACCATAAAAAAATTTAAATTAAATGCTATTTAAGAAGTGCTTGACAGCATCTGTTGAAGTGGAAAGATAACTCAGCATTTACAGCATTAATCTGCTCTCCTTAATGGGCCGTATTTCAGTACAGAAGAGTGATTAAGATGGCTTCAGCACATGGCTGACACAGCACCGGGAAAGCTCCTTTCCACAGCACATCCATTTGTTCTCACCAGGACACAACAGGGTCCCCGTCCTTGAAACCACGCTGGGACCTCCGTGAGTTACTGTGCCATAAAACCCCTTCCTATCATGCTCACACCTGAACCAACCCATTTAATACAGGTGCAGCAGCATCATTTTTCAAGGGATGCTACTGAATCCTTCAGGTCAGTGAATCCTTCTTTTGCCTCCCTTCCTCCACCCTAAGGAAACCTTTCCTTGCAGGCGTTTAAAAGGGCAATAAGGGTTCCCTGGCACGGTGCTGAAAAAGACAACTTAGAGCTGAGGGAGGACGTCTCCTATGTCCCAGATCTGCCAGCACGCAGAGGCAGAAATGAAAATGAACTTTGCCGTAGATCGCCAGGAAACCTCATTTCCTGCAGTTGCACCCCAAAGGTGCCGAGATTTAAGTGACTGCATTGCCTGAGCATGGTGTGGAAAATCCACCCCCTTCTTCCAGCACCATCCTTGGCGTGCGAGGCACCACATGCACAACGAGATGGGGGGAAGAGAAGGATCTCACCCCAGACACCACCACCTCCATCACTCAAATCTTTGGGGTCAGGCTTTATACTGAAATTCCACGTATAAAGGGAGCAATAAGGCAATAAATGACAATAAATAAAAGGCCAAGCAGTTGCAGGAGTTGGTGAACGGGTTACAATGATCTACACCGATTCCTACCAGCACCAACTCCTCACCTCTCATCGCGCCTGCGAGTGCCTTTATACCCCATATAACCCATAAAAGCTGAAGACACCTCAGTAGAAAGTGCTATCAAATTTAGAGAACAGCAACATATGCTGATGGGCTCAGCAACAGCAATGACAGTGTGTAATTCATACTACAAAGGGAAGCATTTGCTGAGCTGCTGCAGTGTTTACACACTGCTCATTTCTGAGCCAAACTGCCTCAACCGTAATTTTTTTGCATAACTGTTATATACGCGCCATTGTCTGCCAATATAAATCTCACAGCGTTTTGCAGGAGTAAACCCATTCTCTCCAAAGCCGAGCAAACGCTCTTTAAATCCAGCCTGCCCGTATAACACTCGCCTTTCGGAACTGAACATAAGCTAAGACATTTCGCACGGATCCGTCGTGTAATTCATGCACGGCTCTTGGTGATGCCGTTGCCAGCAAATTACCGAAGCAAGGGGAGAGAGAGATCTCCATTTGCACTTTCCAAAATCCCAGCACTGCCCTAGGATCTTGTCAGCTAATCCCATTTAAAGTTGGGCTCTTGTTTCGTGGTGGGAGGTAAATGCTCTCATTTCGGTGTAATACCCGACCATCTCTCAACTCACACCAAAGCATCCCTAAGCAATTCAGGGATTTACAGAAATCCTCCTCCTCTCCAGAGGAATGAAGTCACTTCTCAGCTGGAACACTTAAAAACCATTACAGTTTGGTTAAAAATTAAAAGATAACCCATTCAAATTGGGTCATCGTGGTGCCGTTTAAAACAGGCCACCAAAGTGACCCAACTGGTTCAGCATCACGCTGGGAGGACAACGCTGCATCCAGCCAATGCCCCAGGGAAGGAGTTTTAGGATATTTACAGGCATCACCTTAGGAGAGGCGTAGGGCTGGCACGGCTGTTGGCTTGCAGGCACTTGAATTATCACGACGTTACAGATGGATTTCCACATCTGCAGGCTCTGTGACCACTGCCAGCACTCGACTGCACAAGAGACCTCCAATCTCAACCCTTCCCTTTGCGCAGACTTCAGCTAAAAGCCTATTTGTTCCCATCTTCTCTTCCCCAGAACCAGTCCTCCCCGCAATAAGCCCTGATCCTTGGCCCCTACAGAGCCCACGCGCAGGTTTAAAAGCCTGTGCTGCTCAGCAAGCGATACAGACCGTAGAAATAAATGGCAAAAATCCCTCCGTTGGCTGCATCGCTGTGGAAT